TATATATATATATATATATATATTTCAAAAGAAGTGCTGTATTTATATATATATATATATATATATATATATATTCAAAAAAAGAAGTATATTATATATATATATATATATATATATATATATAAGCAGGATGTGTGTGTGCGTGTGTGTGTGTGTGTGTGTGTAACGAATGCACGGCCGCAATTTCCGACGGATGTGCATTAAAATTTATATGCACATGCTCCAAGTTAGCGGCAAGGCCAAGACCGACTTTGCATTTCCCAACTTCAATCGATAGTGGGAATAATCGATTTTGTCATGCTTCTACGGCAGTTTTCATGTAGTTTGCGGCCATTTTGTACTGGCCAGAGTGAGAGCCACGAATAGGCAGAAAGATTCTATTGGCCAGCGTGAGAGCCAACAGCTGACTGACACGAATATTCACTAGCATGCTGGCATACAAAAAAAATCGATAGCTGCATTCGTCACAAGTGGGAAAAATTTTAATCTGCATGGCACTTTACTCCAATTGGCTCATTCGCTTGCTTAAACTGAACGTTGATTCTGATTCCGCAGAACTGGGTTGAATGTGAAAAAGTATTTGTTGTTAACATTTTTTTTCATTCGTTTTTCCCAGTTACAAGTCCTTTTTTAAAGCTGATCGTTTTGTATTCATTTTGTTTACTTCTTTTTTCGTAACAGATTTAATATTTAGTATAGAGCTTAGAAAAAAATTCGCAGTGTGAAATAGGCAAGAAGTAAGGCATGTAGCAGCATCAGCACGGCAAAGGGCACTCCTTTAAAGGCAAGGAAGGGCAAAAATATTTTAAGTCAAGTGATAGCGATTGCTGTATGAGTCGGACGATTTTTGAATCAAGCACGGGCAACGCAGTGCCATGCTACTAGTATATATATATATATATATATATATATATATAATAAAGAAGTATTTTATACAAAGAATTCATTTGCAATGTTAATGTGAGGTTAATGGCGAAATCACTTCGCTAACAAGACCTTACTATCAATTCCTTGAATAATACGATCCTTATATTTGAGTTGTTTTATATTTGAGTTGTTTTATATTTGAGTTGTTGTTAGATGGAAATGACGTGCCAAGTACTTTCAACAATTTCAAATTGTCATCTTCAGGGCGAAATTTTTCTATTTACAGGCAAAAAAACTAAAACAAAATATGTCTAGTGTAGAGTGAAAGATATTTTTTTAAAAAATATGCTATTTGTTGACAGTTATATTATTTTGGAACGTGTGATGCTGCGACGCAAGAGATCTTGTTCAAATCAACAAGCACACGCTAGAACTGCCTATTCTGATGGTAATGGTAATGTTAATATTAGCCGTTTCCCTACAAGGAAACATTTGGCATTCGCTGGCCGAGCAGCGAGTACTATTTTCGACTGAAATTTATAAAATCTTTCTCTTTTTTTTGGCTTTTTTTCAGGAAACTAGGTTTTTCAAGTCCAGTAGCTGTTATCGCTAAGCAACTGAGCAGCTGACCAATTCCCGCCAAATATCTGGGTTGAAATCCGGAGAGGTAATCATTCATGTGTAGCCTGTCTGGAGTAAGTAGACCTGACGCAACCCGTTCCTCTCCAGATGAAACCACAGTCAATGTCTTTGGACAGGTCGTCGTTGATTCTAGCGGGGGTAATCACCACCTTGGCCATTGACTTTAATCTAGAAGGCCCCCCTCCCGCCTTGGTGACTTTAATCTAAAAAGCCCTCCGCCCTGTAAGGAAATTCATCTGCCCTTTGGCAGGTTTTGTTTTTAATCTTGACGTATATCGAGCCAACCTTCTCGTCAGAAAATCCGGGTGGAGGAACCGGTAATAATCGCTTATGACTCGACCACCGCCGGGTAATACTATGTTACATGGTACCTTTAGCACACGGAGAGTGACCTGGTCTTAAGGAGGTCACCAGCGAAGAGAATAAAGAACCTATCAATTGTCTTAGTTTTTTCCAGCAACTGACCCACAGAATTTTCATCTAAAGTAATGTCCGTAAGAATGTTAGGATGCCTGTGCTAGTAACTCTAATGAATACTTCCCTCTCTAACCAGTTTATTCACTGAAGTCTACTCAGTACAAAGATGGAGAGCCACTCAAGTTAGAGTTTACTGATAATGATATGTGCGATATTAATATAAGAGGAAGTAGTAGGATAATTATGAGGATAAAGAGTTGACCCTTGAAGTTAATACTGTATGGTTCAGGAAAGCATGCACATCTATTCTCCAACGTAGCAGTTCTTGAGAAAAAAAAAAGAAAATTTGAGTGAAACTGCCCCGCGTTAATTGAACACGGGGGAAATTAGGATGGTTCAACTCCGTGAAAGGAACATGTCCTGTCTTAGAATTAAAATTTTGAATTAATGTAAATAAAGAATAAAGATCATTTGAACATTTGCCAAGGAAATAACGATAGTGTAGCGGCAAGCTTTCAACGGTGTGTCTGTAAGAAGGAGACTATGGGATGGGAAATAAATCATCCGCTACAAGACTGCGTAAATAATTTTGAACTCCGTCAACAGTAGACGGTGAGGATTGGGAAGCCCTAGCTGAGATATGACAGCAGAAGGCCGTTTTGAGAGTGTAATTTAACTATTGTAAATATAAAACATGGCCGAAGGGGCCAGGTTTTTCTCAATCCCAAATTTTTTCTCTAAAATTTTGTGATTTTTCGAGGACATCTTCTCGGGACTAATATTTAGAGGCCAGAAAAATATGAAGAAAAATAATGAGGAACTAAATTTAACGTAACATATTACATTAAAAACTTAGAGATCACTGGCGGTTCATATCGGCTTCTGAAACAAAATAACGCCATTATCATTGATTGATTTCCGGAATTATAGAAATACGCTTAAAGCAATCTCTTCAAAGACTTGAAGCAACAGAAATATAGTTCTACAGAAGGATGCTGAGGATACCATGGACCGAACGTTTAAGCAACAACCAGGTTTTTGAGAAAATAGAAACAAAAAGGAAACGTATACTTAACAGCGGGATGAGCAGTTGAAATTTGTAGGGCACATAATGAGGAAGGAAGGCTAGGAAAATCTGATACTCACAGGGGAGATTGAAGGCAAGAGGAACAGAGGAAAACAGCGCATGACATAATAAACTCGGGTAAATGGATGGTGGGACAGAGTTTAGGAGAAATAACAAAATGGTAGAATTTATTTAGAGTTGCAAAACATAGGACATTGTGAAGAGCCAATGATCGTCTAGGTTCTGAGTTAGTTTTAATAATTGTTTTGGGCTCCTCTGATTAATGTGCGTTCCAGATGAACTTTGTCCATTTTCTTAGAGAATCTATTTTGCCTTGAATGTTCCCATAAACCCGGAATTACAACCGAAATAGGAAAAATGACGACCACAGCATAAACCGCTAAATGAATGAATTAATTGGTTGTCGTAAAGAGGCAAGCCCAGAAGAAGTTGGGGATCAAATAATTGAACCTGATGCATTATATATCGATCATGTTTGCTTCAATTTCTGACAGGTAGGATAATGTACACGAGGGTGGGAGGAAAAAGCTTATAGGCTGACTAGGGATGCTAGAGCTGTGAAATCTTGCATGTATTAATTTCAATTCTTCTTATTAATAACTGCATTGTTTCTTTCTAGGTAAACTGACATCTGACTGTTCACAGAAGACTGTTCATCCTATTTTTCAAAAAGCCAACAACAAGCAAATATGACGTCATCATCAAAGCGGTACTGGTTTCTGTTTATATCTATCTTCCTATCTATCTATCGATCGATCAATCGATCTATATCATTCTCTGCTTATATCTATCTATTTTTATCCGTGTAGCGTGTGTGTATGTGTGTGTACTGGTGTGTGTAAGAGCATATCTGCGTTAGATTAATGTGTACCAAACTTGCTAGCGTAGGCTGAAAAGTTCCTACGCTGACTAGAAAGGGGTGAGGCTGGAGCTGTGAAATCTTGCATGCATTGATGTAGAATCTTATTAATAACCGCATTCTTTCTTTCCGGGTACGACATTGGGCTGAAAAGTTTATAGGCTGACTACGAAAGAATGATTCTAGGTTTGTGAAATCTTGCATTCATTGATTTAAACTATTCTTATTAATAACTGCATTGTTTCTTTCCGGGTAAACTGCCTCTTTTTCTTTGCACTTAAATTTTCTCCCTGACTTTCTTCTTTCTCATTTTCACTTTCTCTTTTACTTTTGTTCTTTTTGCATTTTTTTCATTTTCACTTTTCCATTTCTTTTCCTCTTGGCTCGGTTTCTTTCTTTCTACACACTCTCTCTTTCTTTTTCGTTTTCTCTTCCCTCTCTCTATGTCTCTCTCTCTCTCTCTCTCTTTTATTTCTTATTATACAACTGTTTTTTCTTTGTTTTCTTTCTCTTTCAACCCTGTTTTTATTCTTTCCTTGTTTATCAAGCTTCAATGACGTTCTACTTACGTCAATGATGTTAATTTTAGTCTCTGCTTTCACAAAGAATGGAAGCGCGCCGACTATTATTGGCAGCTTTCAAATGAAAACCACAGCACGCTAAATAAATATCACTTTGTGACTGCGCATGCGCGGCACTGTTTTTCCCGCGCAAGTGTGCATCTCTACACTTTCATTGGTGGAGGTCTTTGCTGTTGTCTGCGATTGTGTGTTTTATTAACGCGCAGTCGCTTCCAAATCGGTATGGATGAGTCTGTTAAAGTAGCGGGAAACGAACAGCAAGGAAACTGAACTCCTCACCAAACGTAACAAATGCGCATGTCTGGGTGTTTATGAGTGTAAAAGGCTGGGAGGGTTGAGGGGAGAGCAAATGGGGATGTTCAGTTGGTAACTCGCTTGGAGGAAAATACTCCTACCCGCATCTCTGTTCCTCTCGGTAGATTTCACATGAAGTCTTAGTCTATAAAAATAAAGAAAGCGGGAAAGAACAAGAGGGAGAAAAAGATAAAAACACGTGCGTATTGACGTGTATATCTGCATATTCTAAAATAATTGTTATTCTTATCTAATGCTCATCGTATTGTATCGAATCGAATTGTGTCTGTCTGTCTATCTATCTATCTGTCTATCTGTATATCTTGGTCTATCTATCTGTCTATCTATATATATATTGTTTTATCTATCTATCTCAATATGTTCACATCTATTTATCAGCCTGTTAATAGCCATCTATCTATTAGCCTGTTAATATCTATCTCAATCTATTCATATCTATCAGCCTTTTAATATCCATCTATCTATCTATTAGCCTGTTAATATTTATCTGTCTATCTATCCATCTATCTCAATTTCTTCATATCTATCGGCCTGTTAATATCTATCTATCTATCTATCTATCTATCTATCTATCTATCTATCTATCTCAATCTGTTCACATCTATCAATCTGTTAATATCCATCTATCTATCTATTAGCCTGTTAATATCTAGCTAGCTAGCTAAAAGCCTCTTAATATCTAGCTACCAAGCTATCTTAGCCTATTCATATCTTTCTGTTTATAACAATCTGTTCATGTTTATCTAACTATGGATATATTGCAGCCATTTAATACCCATCTACCTATTTAATTCTGTTTCTATCTATGTATGTATCTATCTCAACCTTCTTCATATATCTGTTTCAGTCCATCTACCTATCTATCTCAGATCATATCTATCTATTTGTCTATCTATCTATCCCAGACTGTTCATATCTATCTATCTATCTATCTATCTATCTATCTATATATATATATATATATATATATATATATATATATATATATTATATATATATATATTTCAGTGTGTTCATATCTATCTATCTATTTCAGTCTATCTACCATTCTATCTATCTTAGACCATATCTATCTATCTATCTATCTATCTATCTATCTATCTCAGACTGTTTCTATCTATCTCTATCTATCTATCTATCTATCTATCTATATATATATATATATATATATATATATATATATATATATTTCAGTGTGTTCATATCTATCTATCTATCTATCTATCTATCTATTTCAGTCTATCTACCATTCTATCTATCTTAGAACATATCTATCTATCTATCTATCTATCTATCTATCTATCTCAGACTATTTATATCTATCTATCTATCTATCTATCTATCTATCTCAGACTGTTTATATCTATCTATCTATATATATATATATATATATATATATATATATATATAATTAAATCATTTACCTTTTTGTTTGTTTTTGTGTGAATAATTCATGAATTTATATATATATATATATATATATATATATATATATATATATATATATATATATATATATATATATATATATATATATATATATATATATATATATATATATATATATATATATATATATATATATATATATATATATATATATATATATATATTAATGTCTATCTATTATCTATTTATCTGTGATGTTCGGCTAGTGTATTTGATATTGGTGCATAAATTGGAACAGGCAAACTAATTATCCGTGTTCACTTTCGCACAAATACACCGTTGAAAGGCATAAGTACATCTCTTTGTTGCCACGGCTCTGACTAAATGACTGGACCTTCTAGCCTTCGCTGGTAGCTTGTCTAAAAGACTCAAATCACCTAATTCAAAACCGTGAACAATGCAATGTGAAACCAGTCTTTATATAAAAATTTATCCGTTGTAGCTATGATTTTTTTTTTTTTGCAAAACCCGCGTTCTAACATAAAAAGAATGCAAAAATTTTAAAATAATTGTCACAGAGCACGTTTATGCGTGTTTTTAAAAAGCACAATCACAGTTACAATAAGTTTGTCTTTTTAATTCACCTTGGAGGATGATCACGGTGGAGATCGAAAGTACTTGAATATGAAAAAAACTATGACGCCTTCCTTAATGAATTTCATCTTAGCATCAAGAAACTTATTAGAGAAGTGGAAAAGGTTATTATAAAAATAAATAGACACAATATGTCTATATTATTCAATATAACGTGCTTGAATGAAGACATACAGGCTATATATATATATATATATATATATATATATATATATATATATATATATATATATATATATAAACAAACAGGTTTCGTTAAATAATTTAGACATATTCTGTCTACTTATTCTCGATAGAATCTTTTCATATTCATGGATAAGCTTTTTGAAAGACGAGAGGAAAACTTTTTTAAAAGCTTTTATAAGCTTTTTAAAAGACGAGAGGAAAACACCAAGTTGGCTCATATTGTATTTATTTCTGAGTACTTTCGACATGGTATAATGCCATCATCAGGTATTGCTAATTACATATATATATATATATATATATATATATATATATATATATATATATATATATATAAATGGATTTAACAAATTTAAAAATAAATTTTTATCAATAAATTATATATATATATATATATATATATATATATATATATATATATATATATATATATATATATTAATATATGGATATATATATATTTTCTTTTATTACTAAAATATCTACCGTCCAAGTAATGAACAAGTATCGAAACTGTATTTTTTTATATATACTTAATTTTTAATATATTTTCGATTCTTATATACGTAATATTTTAATATATTTTTGATGTATATATCCCTCAGTCTTTTGATATCTATATTATCAGTTATCTTTATCTGCCAAAGTCAAAATTGTAGATATTTTCTGATTTTCGCTGCATTTACTCCATATCATTCAGTTTGGTTCCACACCAAGCTAAATGATATAGAGCAAATTCGAATAGAAAGATTATGTAGCGACATATTTCCAATGAAGTAGGATTTTCTCGTCTTGAGAAATCCACGTTTTTACCTGGTCTCCCAACAGGAGCTATGGATACCGTTACCAACTACCTATCACAGACACTACGCAGACCCGAACGCACGTGGTTATTACCGTATTTTCCTGTGCATAAGAAGAGAGATTTTGAACGAAAATTAAAGGTAAAAAGGCGGTCGTATTATGCATAAGTACACGTTTTGCAGAAATTTTTACTTAAAAATAGGTATTTGAAACGTCAAGATTGCAAATCCACCCAGTTTGCACAATAGATAATAAAACATGAAGTAGGCAGGTGTTGCTAACAATTTTTTATAAAATGTATTCGATATATCGGCCATATTTGTTCTTTGGGAATCAGCGTATTGTTTAATATTAGAAAGGTTTTGGTCACAAGATAAAGTTTGTTTATATTTTGATTTTCCTGTTTATTTTATAAAGTTTTCTTTCTTCATTAATAAAGGACAATATTTTTTTTATTTTCATAGTTTATTAATATATAGAAATATCATAAACTCATATCAAACAGAAAAGTATCATAGTTTAATTAACACCTTAAAATGTATTATCAGATATATGTAGTTAGTTCCTTTCACTGAACATGTTTTTGAAATTATGAGAAGAAACCCGCAATGATTAAACATCCAGTTCATTTGAATGCTCCTATATACAGTTGTGGACAGAATTATTCACCCCCGCCCTTTCCATAATTACAAATAAACCTGTAATACCTCATTGAAACTTTATGTGTATTTTTCACAAATAACGAAATAATATATTTGAAAGAATGTGCAATGATGTCTGCAATATAATCTTTATTTTAATGTCAAATAATAAAACAAAAACACAAAAAACATTTAACAGAGAACGTATTGGTCCTCTTGCCTCAATAATTAATTGTGTAACCTTTATTCTTGATTATTGCTTTTAATTATTTTGGATAGTTTCTTACAAGATCACTACGCACATTTTACTTTGTTCATTTTCCGCTATACATAACGGATACATTCAACTCTGATATCTTTGCATCATTGTCAGTCTCCTTTGTCGTTAAGGTTCTTCGGGGCATATCTAACAATTTTATTTTCCACTCTCTCAGAAATGAACTGTTTTCCGCCAGTCATTAATTATTTTCTTAATGCAATGAGCCACGTTATACTTCTTGATAATGCTACGAATTGCCATCCAAGGAACATTTAAATGCTTGAAAAGTGTTGTATATCTTTAAACTTATTTGTACGCCATGGTTGCAGAACGAATGAATTATCGCTCTATGTGGCACTCACAAATTGTCTTCTTCATTAATTTTAAGTATGTTATAGAATCAGACGAATACTATTTCATTTTCAAATACTGTTTGTATTAAATGTCAAATTAAGAAAGAAATCATTACAATTGGCATAGAGCAATATTATTTCTAAATTTCCATAAGGAGTCGGGTCAATAATTTTGGACTGCACCATTTTTTAGGAAAATCTGTAACTATGAATATAACAGACAGAAACTTCTATAAATTTCACGAAATATTCAAGCTAAATACGGAATCAGCTATTTTGGTTAAATTCAGCAAATATTCACGTTTCTTTATAAAATATGCAAATATTCTCTGGGGCCGAATAATTCTGTCCACAACTATATATATATATATATATATATATATATATATATATATATATATATATATATATATATATATATATATATATATATATTTTGATACAAATATTTGAAAATATTCTGTTTATAATAAACAGTATTTTACCGTCCCGTATGTCAGAGAAATTTTATAGAAGATATGCGTTCTCCGAGAGGAATCGAACCTATCGAGGCTATATAGGATAATGGTTCGATTCCTGCCGGAAGACGCATATTTTCTTTGAGATTTCTCGGACATTCAGGCCAGTAAATGTTTTTAATATTGTTTATTATAAACAGAGCATTTACTTAAATATTTGTATCTATAAAAATAACATATGAACAATATAATAAAATAATTGTCGAACTTAGTTCATTTCATTATATATATATATATATATATATATATATATATATATATATATATACTAGCAGCATGGCCCGGCGATGCCCGTGCTTGATTCAAAAATCGTACGACTCATACAGCAATCGCCATCACTTGAATTAAAATATTTTTGCCCTTCCTTGCCTTTAAAGGAGTGTCCTTTCCCGTGCTGATGTTGCTACATGCCTTACTTCTTGCCTATCTCACACTGCGAATTTTTTCTAAGCTCTATACTAAACATTAAATCTGTTACGAAAAAAGAACTAAACAAAATGAACACAAAATGATCAGTTTTAAAAAAAGGACTCGTAACTGGAATGAAAAAAGAATGTTAACAACAAATACTTTTTCACATCCAACCAGGTTCTGCGGAATCAGAATCAACGTTGAGTTTAAGCAAGCGAATGAGCCAATTGGAGTAAAGTGCCATGCAGATTTACATGTTTTCCACTTGTGATGAATCCAGCAATCGATTTTTTTGCATGCTAGCATGCTAGTTAACCTTCGTGTCAGTCAGCTGTTGGCTCTCACGCTGGCCAATAGAATCTTCCTGCCTATTCGTGACAGCCAGCTATAGGCTCTCACTCTGGCCAATAGAAAATGGCCGCAAACTACATGAAAACTGCCGTAGAAGCATGATAGAATCGATTATTTCCACTATCGATGGGAGTTGGGAAATGCAAAGTCGGTCTTGGCCTTGCCGCTAACTTGGAGCATGTGCATGTAAATTTTGGTGCAAATCCGTCGAAAATTGCGGCCGTGAATTCGTTACACAGATACACACGCATCCTGTCTTTGTATGCGTGTGTATCGTATGTGTGTGCGTGTGTGTGTACTTGTTCGTGTGTATATCTGCACATGTGTAGAATGCCGTGATTATTTCTTTTCGTAATTTTCTCTTTATTCTCTCTCAATATTCTTTTTCTTATTACTATCTTTCGGCTCTCTGATATATATATATATATATATTTCGGCTCTGATATATATATATATATATATATATATATATATATATATTTTTTCGGCTCTGACATATATATATATATATATATATATATATATATATGTGTGTGTGTGTGTGTGTGTGTGTGTGTGTGGTGACTTAAGATAAATTAAAGCAACGCACCAATACGGTGAAGGTGTTATGGTGAAACATACCTATTCTATAGTTAATAGACTCTCCCACCTAATATAAGTAAGAGTAGTAAGAGAAACGAAGGTCAGTCGATGTCGGACGACCGGCTGAACGGTTGAACTCTCTGCCTTCGGTGGGGGAAGAACCCGAACGAGGCTACGCCGAAGGGTGGAGTCTCGTTCGGGGAGGTAAACCGACCCTGAACCCGTTTATACGGGATCAAAGGGTATATTTTTGGCCGAGTCCACGGGCTCGGAGATCCCACGTTAAACCGGCCTTGTGCCACATTATACCCTCGTGGGGGGTGACTAAATACTAGTCGATGTCGGACGACAGTAGTCGACAGTTAGTCGACAACGAAAATAGTCAGCGACCACAACAAGATTACTCTGCGTAATACCTATTATATCAAGTTCCTAACGTTTTGTACGTCGAACTATATAGGACCGATTTAGTACAAATACAAGCCTCCACTGCGAAATAACTCCACAACAGAAGGTCACAAAGCGGAATAGAATGCCGGGGGTCCATTTTTTATTTTTATTAAATCAGTGCTAAGTGCGCCATATTAAATATATTCTTGAGTGCTGGCTCATAGCACATTTGGTCTGGCGCAGTTTCGCTCAGGATAAAGTTGTGTGCCATGCGTGATACATGTGTAGGCGATCATGTATCTTCGATACATGACTGACGAGGCAGATTTTTTCCCGCAGTAGGTTGCAATTTTTTCTGCGGTAGACCAGTTGCCATCCAAGAACCCGGTTTGTCCTGCTATTTACCCATAGCTGGGGGGGTGGGGAGAAGAAAAGGATTCATACCTTTCCCAATGGTATTAGCACATAAGTGAATGTAATGGCTTCGCCTGGAATTCGAACTCGGCTCTCCGATTCCTCAATCCGAGCCACTATCCATTACTTCACCGTTAGGTACCCAGCGTAAAGCCACACACTCAGTTAATGCGAAAAGAGATTTTGCATTCAATGTTACACCAGATGATCAGAAAAGCAAAGGGCATCAATGGGTTGACCTAGAATGTAGCCCGACATGTAAACCTGTTCTTTAAATCATTCGCTTTCCTTTTAGAAAGACATTGTCCTTTTTTTTCCACAGGATTTATTTCCCAATTCTGTCCAGTTCGAAATCAAATGATTGTTATTCTGCTTCAGTGACATATCTTTTCGAGGATATCATTTCACCCGCCCTGTTGATAAACCATATCAGGCAACAAGGTTTCTGACCGAGAGGTTTTGAGAAGCGTGGAACCACCTCTTAATTGCTGTTGCTACCAGGTCCACCTTGGCCCGGAGTAGTAACACTTGTTAAAGTTCCAGCTATGGGCAAATAGTCAATTCCAAAACTAACATTGGAACAATATAAAAATATAAATAGTGAAAATACCAGCAATACATTTTCATATTAAAAAAGTTACCAGCAATCCTTTTTTTCTATTCAATTGTGAAAGCAGAGTAACATATATGATTACTTTAAAGCTACCAAGATAATTGCTGTAGCCTAGGGAATGTTACTGAATAGAATAATCAAACGAAAGTTGGTAATGAACGATAATACTTAGGACAAGAACAACACATATAAGATTCGCCAGCAGCGCGTAGAAGTAGTCAACTGCTAGAAGTGAATTCCACAATGAATCTCCAACTGCAAGATATTTACCAACCGCCTCACGCGGTCAGATGTGGCACAAGGCCGAATTTAATGTAGGGTATCTGAGCCTATA